TCATTATATTGCAATTTGAAAACAGGGGTTTACAATTGTTACAAGGCATCCTTCAAGATTCTGAAATTTCCCCCATAGACAAATTTTATAAGAGTGAAATAGGTGAACACCAATGAAAATTGAGAGTGAGAGCATTTTACAAACTTGGGAAATATGAGGGCACTCTCAACACGACACGCAAGGATGGCAAAATTACACAGAAGACAAACACTTTAAGCCCTGAAGATGATCTCAATACAAGACCGAAACGTTGGCACGATAAAGAAAATGTTTTTCTGAAACCTACATTACACCCGACCGCATCTCACGATATCTGAATAACTTGGGAAATATGTTCATTCCACAATAGATTTTGTTCCAGATGAAATCCCAGATATTTTGAACTACAAGGATCTTTCGAAACTTGATTCTTTGAAATTTCAATTTAGTGCTAAGCCAAATGTAGGCACATAGCAGACAGGTTATTACTAGTGACTAGAAAATAAAATTGGACCCATAACAGAACCTTATGGTACATTACAATGGTCATTGCCTTACATTACAATTGTCTGAAAGGACTATCTTAGTTCACAACGATCTTATTATTTAAAATTTTCTACCGATAACGGGTTTCTTTCTATCAATTCCATAATATTTTAATTTTTGAGCAGTTCATGTGGAGCCTCATATTGATTTCTTTAAAAAAGATCTATTATCTGTTTTACAAGGTAGTATCCAGCAGTTGAAAGTCTCCTCCTTTACACACACTGTCTGACAAAAGTTTGAAATACTTTTGGAAACAAGACTGGAAAATAAGGTGCGGAAGAACTTAGTACTTTAATCTATTCAGTCTACCTTGAGACATGTGGCGTTGTCATCTAAGGTCATTAAGATTTACCAATCCGGATGGTTTGTTTTGCCAAGCTTTCGATGCATTTGGTCAATTTCAATAGGAAATGATGACTTTTAGGGAAAAATGAAATAGTGGATGTCTCAAGCATAGACCATATGTTTCTTTTAGGTGTAAATTTGAGTTTGGCATGTGTCATAGCACCCTACTGGGTCAGTTTTCAATCCCGGCTTTGTTGGATTACTCAAACGCGTTTCAACATTGCGTCATGTTCAGTGAGGAACTGCCAAACCTCCAATCACCGACTCGCAGACAACACCAATCATCAACCCTTATGATTGTGGACTCATTCGAGTTCTTCACTTTGAGTAATGTACTACGTTATTATTCTTTTAAGAAACGACTCGTTTTTTAACTTAAGAAGCACTATTTCTTGGAGCGCAACTGTCACTCAGGTCAAGAAGTCCAACGAGCTTTTTGATTTTTCAAATGTACTTTAAGTAACTTGAATGCGTTTTCATTCAGTTTGTTAAAGATTTTCATTCACAGTAAGCTTGATTATCGACGGAGGTCTTCCTCTGGCTTGTAAAAAAGAACCGTAGTGATCTTTCTTGCAGCCTGGAGGGCCGAACGATCAAATTTAACCTTTCAAAAGCATACAGCATGAAAATTCTGTCTAAATGTTCATTTTTGAATTTGTACTAAAGAGTATGTAAAGAATTGGGAAGGTATTCAATATAAACAAAAAAGAAAGTAATAACTGCATCATCAACGTAATCATATTGGTAGTGAACAAAAAGCTAATAAAATATCGCATGGTATTTCCGTTCTGAAGGAAATTTAATGAATTTCTATCGTGCTGTATGTTCGGTGTATGTTCAACCATGGTAATGTTTGAATATGCTGTGGCGTATAATTGGGCGAAATGGATGACCCGGTCGGTCTGATGCCGACGCTGAGGGCCTCTTAAAGCGCGCGTGCCACTCTAGTTAAGGGGCGTAAGGGCAGTAAGTTTCGACTACTGAGGACGACGTTTCATCGATATTGAAATGTGGCCAACTCAAACTCTAAGGCTAATACAACCCCAATTGAATGGAGACGTAAGCCCAATTAGGTTTAAGTCTCTAGTAAATGGGAACGCGAATGAATGAAAACAAAAAGGATAAAAGTTTTAGTTGCTACGCAACGTCGTGAGATCCTTTCCGAGATTTTTACCTAAAAGGGAGCCGCCCCTCGTCCTCTTTTTCAGCATTGGAATCTCAGTTAATTATAAATCGAGAAAGGTCGAGACAATGGGGGGAGGGTGAGAAAACAGGGTGGGTAAAGGTAAAGTCAGGTTCCTTTCGAGGTAGGTCTTTTATTGACTCTGACTCGGGGGGTTAGAATTTTATTAAAAAACCGGTAAATTTTCGTTTCAATAAATTAATTCTCAGAGGATGTTTTTTTAATGAAATGCTTAACACATTTTTTTTCTATGAAGCATAGACACAGAAATAACAGATCCCATGTTTAGAACAGCTGTTATGATTTCATTTTTGCCTATAGCAATAAAATTATAAACTTACAGCCAAAGGGTCAATATTTTAAACTATTTCTATAAGAAGGAAATTTTAAAAAAATTAGAAATGAGATGGGTGTTGGCCTGGGAGTCGGTGATCCTATGGTGGACCGGCATAAGGTCACTTACTGGGCCCGTTTTCACCCTCGGGTTTGTTGGATTGCTAAAACGCGTTCGGTATGACGTCATGTTCAGTAAGGAACTGCCAAATCAAACCTCCCGGCTTCGAATTGGCCACTCCCGACTCACCCATAGATTCCTACTTGAAAGAACTCCTAAACATATATGTCCGCTCTGTAAAACTACCATCACAATATCCCACATCCTAATAGATTGTCCTTTATACACTTCTAAAAGATCCCTCCATCAGATTCCCAAAGACCTCCAATCCATACTAAGCAACAACTCAACATCAATAAACAAAATTTTTAACTTCTTAACAGACATCCAACTAATTGATAAAATCTGATATCCCATCCCCTCAACTCTTGTTTCCTTTGCTGGTTCCCCATGTTGGCGGTGTGGTGCGGCTGACTTCTGGCGACGCCCGTGCGGGGACTCGGGTGCTGGTCGGCCTTGGGCTGGATTGAGGGGTGCCTCCCCGGACTCTGAGGTCAAGGAATCTCCAGCGAGCTTAGAGGAGGTGTCGATGGTGACTAGACACCGACCCCTCCTCGATAAAGTCCTGCGCGCAATATTAAGACTAAAAGCATCAGTTGCGAGAGATCCGTGGGGTTCCGTTCTTTCTAGGCCTGGGGCTGCCACTGCGCCGGGGTCTGCGGGGGCCTCGCTCTGAGGGGGCCGGGCTGCACCGTTAACTTGCACAGACTCAAGGCTTAATGACCAATAAGGTTTCAGCCTTTAAATTATTTAAAAAAAAAAACAAAAAAAAAAACCTCCGATCACCGACTCGCAGACCAACACCAATCATCATTCCTTATGATTGTGGACTCATTCGAGTTCTTCACTTTGAGTAATCCAAAAAAACAGTGAAGACGGACCCAATAAGTGGCCCTATGCCGGTTCAGCATAAAAAGTAATCGCTGTTCAGAAACTCAAAATGATGAACAAATATCTCATCTCAGGAAGTAACAGAACTTGATCGATCTTTGCATCAGCTGGATCGGACGGCTGAATACAAGCTACAAAAATATTCACCATGTTTTTTAACTGATTAATTAGATATAAAAGAGCATGGTTAAGTATTTGATTTTTGAAAAATAAATTTTGTGGTTCAATCGTTCTTGGCACATTAAATTTAATTTCGTATTCAACTGGAATCCATTAGGAAATTTTTTTCACCTTGGTGATTGATTTGAGGCTCAATGGCCGACATTGCCCGATGATTATTTTGATAAATACCTCATAATACATCGTAAACTTTAAAAGTCAATAATGCTTAAGGTCTGTCAGAAAAATGAGCTATTATTTCTTTAATGAAGTATCGAGTCAACTGAATTGAATGAAGTAAGCGTTTGATCTGCACATCACTGAAGATGTGGAGAAGTTTAATTGCGGTGGACAAAGCAAATTACACCACTCAGAACTAGGAAATCTCATACACTAAGCGTTGACCGATTATTTTTTCAAAATTTTATTTCCAAAAATGGTTAACTTTTTTATGACGATTTGTAGCAGTTCTTGTACATAAGCTTTTGGTATGCACACCATGATCGTAAGTAAAGGACCGAAAAAAAATAAAAAAAAAATTGAACATTTTTATCACTTTTTATCCTAAAAAGGTCAACGGGTATTGACTGGGGATACCCATTGTCGTCCAATTGAGTCGTCAAATCAATCTTTGGAATTTCACTATCTCATAAATTCCGGTTGGCAAATTGTCCGCCTGGCGGTTGTTAATTGCGATCCGTGGATCTGCCATGACGTCTCTCCCAGTTAATATATCAGAGGATCTGTGCTTAGCTTTTGCGATGGAATTTTCAAGGCTCAAGGCCGGGGCGGATCGATAAAGCTACTGCGAACTTCCGCGATCTTCCACGATCTTTCAACCAAATGGGTTATGGAGGAAAAATACGATAATTTTTTTTCTCTCTCTCAGGTTTTTGAACTATCAATTAATTTATGACACCTTTTTTGTATATTTTGACAGGTGTTACGTGTTATGTATCTATTTGTTGTGACATTCTACATGCTGAAATGGTAATTATATATACACCAAAAAAATGCGTGCATAGGATGTATGTTGATAGGGAAAAGAAACAAAAGAGCAAGAATTGTTTCATAGATTAAAATTATAAGAAAAATCAAGATTGTCTAGGACCTTTTAAATTGTATATTATCTAAGTATAAACAAAAATAAAATCTACAATTTTGGTTCTTAGTTTCAGCAAAGTGTTGATTTACAAATAAACTAACAGTTTAGCCTTGTGAAAAAAAAAGCTATAGACATAAAATGGACAATACATTAAACCTAAACTAAAAGACCATCTAAAAATTAAATTAACAAGCAAAATAAAATAAAAAGACCATGACAAAGGGGATCTCTAAACGGTTTTTTCAAATAATAATAACTGGTTTGAAAGTGCAAGTTCTAAACAACGAATTTTGTTTTAACACTAAGACACAATGAAGCAAAATCGTTGTTCAACTTACATGCATTACTTCCAGTCACCAGTCGTCTTAATCTCCAATCAACAAAAGAAGAAACAACTTATGAAATCTACCTAAAATAGATGACCAACAATTTTAGATATAGAAATACAACTAATAAAACATTTTTTTTTAAATAAATAAATTTTTGTATCTTCATAGCCATGTTTCTTTTTTTTCTAAACTATTAAAACACATTTGATGAGCCAATTGAGAAAAAGTCCAGGAAAATGACACGAGAGCTTTCCAGCACATTTATCGAGATGCTTGTGACACATATGAGGTTTGTTCCAACACAAAATCACAAACCAGTTGCCAACTAATCCGTGATTTATGACTGCGCATGCCCGAAACATTGACTGATCACGGATTCTTAACTCTGTTGGTTTTTTCCAATCTTGGACTTTGGCCGAAATTTGTCAGTCAAAAACCATAAAATCAATCAGTCAATTGTCACTCCTCTAGCCTTCTTTTACAGGACAGATTCAATTTGTGCGATGTTCTCATATATTCTTTTCGTATCGGAATAAATCTCAGACTGCTTACAGTAATTGGTTCTGTGACAGCAGATTTTAAAAAAAAACTTTAATTTTCAAATTATATTGTGTATCTTACATCTTCAAACAATAATTATTATAAGGAGAAAATGCAATATACAAAAATGATTGAATATAAATGCATAATTAATGACTTTTCTTACAGTTTATATATAGATATATAGGTCTGTATACATTTACTGTATTTTTTACAATTTATATACATTGTTCCGACTTCATATACTATTATTTAATTAATTCTTGTTTCTTTATTTTTATATCATACGTTATATTCAACCTACTTTTGTACTGCTTTTTTCTCTGTATAATAAATATTTCCTCCAGATATAAAATACATCATATAATTACACCTGCACAATTCCTTAACATTTTACAAAATGCGTTTTTATTAAAAAAAAAATGTTTGTAACACTCGAAAGATATATTTTTATTTACGAAAATTTAAAAATGTTTATTTCTAATAAATTTGAAAATTAAAGTTTTTTTTCTATCTTGTTATATTCTCCATTTTCACATATTTTTCAAATTACGCGTATAAATTATAAAATTCTTTTAAAAAATACATAACTAATGTTTTTTAATTTATTTTAAGTATTTTTTACTTGTCTATTTCTTCAAAAATAAATACATATATAAGAACATATTTTATATTTTTTTTCACATATAATTCCGGCCGCTGGTTAGTAGATTTGACGAAAGAGCTGGAAAATATCTGCGCATGTCCCAAGTCAAATCCTAGGACTGTTTTATAGGTCAAAACTGGCTTGAAAACGTGTTGGAACGGCCGACTGACAGTTTAAGTTTGGTTTTGTGGCTTGAAGAAACGCCAAAACTCCACTGCACATGCGCCCGCCGGTTTGCGGATGGTTGGAACGCGTGATGGAACAAACCTCAAAAAAACAAGTCGAACAATGGGAAATAAAGAGCATCTTAAAATGAAAAATGTAAACTTTTGTCAAATATAACTGCCTTAAAAAATGGGATAGGATGTTAAAAATAAGACATGCATACGTTGATCAAAAGTTTTTTTTTTCAAATTTCAAGCAAACCAAATTTTCTTCAGCTCTGAATAGGAGTAAAAAAATTAGAGGGAAATAGAAATTTTTTTTTCATATTTCGTTATTTTAGGAGAGTTTTTGGACTCTTTTGAAATATTGTGGATCCAAGGGAAAACATGAAACTCGGTCGTAAATTTAAATTTGTCCATTTGTAACGGTTCTGGGTTTGAATGTCAAATGTCGAGAAGTTTTAACGTACTTTCGAAACTCATAAACCCTCGGGTGATGGTTTGACAATAATAAATTTTCTCCCCAACGAACGATTGTTTTGTTTAAGTCAGAAAATTTATCACACACCGGCCCAGCTTATCTTAATCTGTTTGATTGTAAACAGTTGGAAATGTAATGCCAAAATCTTGTAGCAAGGCTTTTTTTTCAGATAAAACAGAGGTACGGCTTTATATTCATTTTAGAAATTGGCCTTTGCTCTTACCTCGTCGTTTTTAAAGACACGTTATTTTGATAAAAATAGGTCGTTACGTTAATTTTTCTTTTCTTTATAGCTCATTTGTTAAAATTTATTAAAGGGGAACAACGAGTTTTAACTACTATAAAGCCAGATAAGTTAGGTCTGTACGGAATAATCATTCCCGGTGTAAAATCTTAAAATTTCATTTTAATTATTGGCCCCGATTAAAATTTACACCCCGATTTTCAAAATGAAATAACAGCTCTTTGGAAGTTGGCAGGATCCATTCCTGCACCCCTCCGGAGGGTGACAAGTGTGCGTGCGAGGGGGAGAGTTTAGTAACCCCGACAGATGTGCGGGGGACAGACGGGGAAAAAAAATCATTTGTAGAACGAGAATGGGCCCATGGGGTAATAACGAATATGCCCCGCGAGGTAAAAAAACAAGTTTAACTTACATTTTACATTGTATGTACACACACCACACACACAAAAGATAACACTGGACGTAACTGATTTTGTCCAAGTCGGGAGGAAATGCAAAAGTCGAACAGTTAAAAATCAAAATGTCCAACTTAAACTAGTTACAGGCGGCAGAGGAGCATATTAAATTTACGGACTTTAAAGAAACTCTTTGAAACTCTCGGTGATACCATGCCAAAAAAATATTAGATGTGTAGGAGCCAAAACAAAATTTATGTAATTTAAATAATTTTTCTTTATTATAGTATTCTGTCTTTGTTGTGCGCGTATTTCATGGTGATTATCATTCTATTTATTTATTTTTTTTTTATTTTATTTTTTTTTTTCCGGGGCTTCCGACATCTAGGTCATTTCAGCCCCCACTAAGTCTATATTCTATACACGTTCATACAAATAAATACATTTATACACTTAAATACATCCATACAGTACACTCATTCCGTTTGGTCGGTGGAGTACTTGATATTCCTCCACCGACCTACACTTAAACTAAACTAGATTGGGGTACTTTTATAAATATTCCGCCATCGACCCCGAACACACACTCACCCGCTTTCATCGTTCGAGGGGCGATGATGACGTTATATTCACCCTCACCCCTCGCCATTCACGCTAATAAATACATGCACACAGACAAAACATATAGACACATAACACATAAGACATACTATATACAATAAAAAACCCCAATTTTCCCTAAGAAGCGGAACAGGGGACTCTGAAACTCGCTACCATGCTCGAGGACTCTTCTTAAATCCGGCGGCATGCCTACACGCTCTCTGTATGGAGCCAAGGCATGACACGCCTCTATTATGTGGGACACATCGAGCAACCTTTCTCTGCATAAAGAAATTATCATTCTATTGTTGTTTTCTTTTAGCCAGGATAAGAAAATTATATGGAGGATCGAATTAAACGTATATAAAAGGTCAAAAAAAGGACATTATCAGTAAAGTAGGCCAAAAAATCTTTTTGTTAAAAAACAATTTGAATTTGTTTTAAGCATCTTTTAAATCCTTTAATTTAATTTTATTTTAATATTCTTTTTTTCCTTTAATATTTTAAATTTTTTAGGGTTTTTTGTTGTCTGATTTTTCCAAAAATTTATATTTCAGGGTTTTTTCTGGTTGCAGAAAACGAATATCGACTTTCTTTCTGCTGAAAAATATCTTAACCTACTTTGCTAATAGTACGTTTTTTAAATTTTTTTTTTTAAATTTACTGTATTACATCAAATGTCAATTCTGTAACAGGTAACAACGTGTGTAAATAAATAGTACAAAACAAGAGAAAATTTGTAATAATATAAATACGTGCATGATTTGCGACCACCGATTTTTTCCCGAAAAATCGCGAATAATGGCGATCACTTCGAGGGGGATTTTCTATTCTACATGAAATTTTCCAATGTTTTAGAGTACAATCAACTACACGTACATGACAAACTTGGTCTCCACAAATAGATCAGAGCCGGAAATATACCAAAACATTTGGGGTGGTTTTGTTGATTTCACCTTTTTTTCACTTATAGTGGCAAAACTTTCTTGGTATAGGTTAAAAGCAGAGATATTAAGCTTTCTAAACGGTGTAATAACGTTGAATTTTGGTAAAATTCAGAATTGTTATGAATTTTCAAAGTTGAACATAGGGCATGGAGAAAAATTTGTCCCTGGCGGATCCAGCCAAAAAATGTCTATTTTTAGTTTGCGTCAAAAATTTGAATTTTTAAGAGCTTTAAAGAAAAAAAAAGAATGATAAGAACGAATACGATTTTTTTTTCATAATTTTTTCTCCTACTTTACTGAAACACGACGTTTAGGGACTTTTTGTTGATTCCGACTTTAATTTTCTCACTTATAATGGTAAGAACGAATACGATTTTTTTTCATAATTTTTTCTCCTACTTTACTGAAACACAACGTTTAGGGACTTTTTGTTGATTCCGACTTTAATTTTCTCACTTATAATGGTATAAATCTAAACAATGTTGGCATAATCTAAAAGCAGAGAATTTAAGATTTCTAACGGCTGCAATAATGGTAAATTTGGATAAAAACCAGAATTGCTATGAATTTTCAAATTATCTACGAATCCATTTAATTTTGATTTGCTACAAAAATTTGTACTTAAGAACTTTAAAGGGTGCTTAAAAGGAATGCGCTTATTTTTGCAACAAAAATGTTTTTTGACCTACTTCAATTGTAACTTTTTATATATCTAATCTGATTTAATACAAATTCCATTATTATTTTCTCATCCGACAATATATATAGATATAAGCTCAAAAATGAGAAAACTTCAGCTTTCCAACTGTTGTAATATCGCGGAAATTGGAAGAAATCAAGAGGAGTTACGAATTTATCAGTGGAACAACGGACATCATCCTGAAAAAAAGAGTACCCCTTTCCAATCCAGCCCAAAATGTGGTTTTTTGTTTGCTCTAAAATTTTTAAATTACCAGCAGGTCGACCATGAAACTATTACAAATATCATCATGAACTCATGTGTGCTCATCGCGTGGCTTATGGCAGACGGGCAATTTGCTCGAAACCGTACAGCAGAACAGAA